TTAATTCGTGATTCGCGATAGAAGTAAACAAAATGTAGATCCTTTTATAATAAATCATGGGGTTAATATTAATTAAAAAAAATTCGTCTCCTTGAAATCTCAAGCTTCCCTCTTATAAATCATGACAAAACGTAATAAAACAAACGCAACTCTTCTTTCTTGTGGTTCTCTTATTCCTGACTTGCATTATGGACCATTTTCGCGAGATTGGTGGTATACTACCACAATTGAAAATGAAGTTCTGTTGGTTCCTATTCGTCTAGGAATGATTATTACCACTACTATTAATGGGCAAAAGTTTATTTTACGTGTCGTTCAAGGCCATCCAAAACATTTACAACAGCCTGGTTATTGTTGTCAAGCTGGAGTATTGTCTAGTAACGTTGAAGAATCTTGTAGCGCTGCATTAACTTCTTTATATCAACATATTTTTCAAACTAAAACAAAATTTTCAGGACCACAAGAGTTAGGTTTAGATGACAATAAAATTGTGGACCAATTGTTAAATGGGATTTTATTTCGACCATTTTATGTTTCAGTTGATAAGTTTCAAATTTTGTATATTCATTGGGCAAATGAAAATTCACATCATCATTTGTGTATTCATATCACAAAAAAAGAAGTTTATTTGTACAAACGATGGAGAAAACATTTTGTAAAATCGAAATATATCATGAAACAACACTTGTAGCTACATTTGAGGGAGATACGCCAGCAGGTGTTTGGAAAAAAATAGGCATTCTACAAAAGTTAGATGGTTTTGCACTCTTTGGTTTAGAGGATGATTATACTAAAAAGAGATTAGAATCAAGAGAATTACCAACATGTCGACCTACCGATTGGACAAATGATGAGACAATGGATGAGTTGTATTCATATTATTTAAAGAAGCGTACACTTGCTAATATTAATTGGCGGAGTATATTTTTGGAATGGGTTAAAAAGGGAAACGGAATTATAGAAATTTGATCAGTTCTTCAAAAAATTTATCCTGAGAATTTTACATTTAATGACCGAGAAAAAAGAGCATGGCAGGTATTTTTCAGAGCTGCGGGATGTATTAATATTACACCATTTGGAATTGATAAATATAAGGTAAAATATTTTATAATTTTAAAAAATATTTTATGATGATTATCAAATATTTTTTTTATTTAGTGTGGATTTTGGACAAAAGAAATCAATCCTTTACATGATCAAGAAACATTATATACTTTGTTTGAAAATGGATTCTTACGAACAATACCATTTGATGACTCATCCAAATCATGCAATGATTTGACAGAACGATTAGCCAGTTGTTTAATAGAATCATATGAAGCAAATAAAAAAGGTGTCGAAGGCAAAAGAAGAATTTTATCTATTGTTGCAGATAAATTTTCATTACAAGAACTGAAGCTAATGAAGGTAAAATAATAATAATAATAATAATAATAATAATAATAATAAAATAATATAATAATTACTTTATACAAAAGTTTCAGATGTCATCTCGAACTATTCAGGAAGCAAGAACATTTGCACGTATTAATGGACCAGGTTGTTCAATAATTGAAAAACCAACAATTCATCGTACCCGATTTTCTGAAGAAGCAAAAGACCAATTCGAAAAATTTTTTTCAGATAAATCCATTGTTAATATGAGTTCATACAAAGTTGATCCACAAACCAAACTACCAGTGCTTTATTTGAAAGATAATAAAACAGCTTTATGGGAAAAATTTTTAGAAACATACCCAGATGGTTATAAGCGAACAACATTTATGACAGAATTGGCGTGAGGACGTTTTCAATATCGCGAAGGTCTTGGTGGCCTATGTTCTATATGTTGTCAATATGGATATAATGTATTTGAAGATTTAGTTGAATTAATTTTGGTACAAATAAAGGATCTCAAATATCAGGTGATGAAAAATATATTTTTATATTATTTTTTTTTTTTAAAAAAATTCAATTTAGTAATACTTCTTTATTGGTAAAGTCTATTTTGATTGATAAGGTTGAAAAGGTTAGAAGACATATGAAGCGTGATTATGAAAAAGAAATATCAATAAATACCAATGGACAAGTGAATCATGATCCTTGTATTTCGCATTGTTTAGCATATGCCTTTGGCATTTGCAAAAATACACATGTTAGCATTTGTGAAAAATGCAATAAATTATGGATACTCTTTACACAATTACAATCCAACCTGGATGAGTCCTGTTCTGAAATACTAAATGAAGCCTGTGAGAAACTGTGTTATTATCTTTCTCATCAAACGCGTAAAGTTTATTTAAACTCTCAATTTTCTATTAGTCTTCGAGAACTTGATGAAGATGGAGCATTGGTAGTTGTAGATTACAAGATGCGAGTTCTTCCCAAATCAGCACAAGAAACGAAAGATGAATTTTTTGACAAGCGAGGATGGACTTTACATACAGTACTAGTATATACGAAAAAAGAAAATGATAAATTAGATATTAGTGCTTTTGATCATTGGTCGAATGACACCCGTCAAGATGCGTGGTTCACGGCGTCATCACTTCATTCAGCAATAATTACTCTTGAAAAAAAATCCAAATGGGTCTCAATTATTTCGGATAACGGGGGTCACTATCATAACTCAGAATTGATGGTTATTTTAAGCTATTGGTATGAATGGTATGATATCGAGGTTAAAAAATGGATCTTTTTAGAGCCCGGAGAAGCGAAAACGACAATCGATTCTCACCATGTCCAAGTAATCCATTTTTATTATTTATTTATTTATTTATGGATTCACAATTTAATTTTATCTCTTTCTTTAGATTGCACATGCAATCAAACATTTTGTTCGATTAGGAAATGATTTAATAAGTGGAGAAAAAATTGAGACAGCAATTAAACACCTTTGTGGAACTTCAGTAGCCCATTTAGAGCCAAACAGAAGTACAGGAAATCAGGTTAAAACGTTGGCAGGAATCTCGGAATGGTATTTTTGGCAATGGCCACGTGAAGAAACTTACAGTGGATATATACAAGCGCGCGCATTGCCTAATGTTGGAAAATGGATTAGTTTTTCACCAGCACAAATAAATGGTTTAGTTAAACAAAAAATCAACAAGCCCGAACCTACCTGTACATCACATTCTGCACCTAAAGAATCATGGAATATTCCAATTCCAGATCCATCAAGTATTGTATTTTATATTATATATTTTTATTTTGACAAAATTATTTATAGAAAATACAATTATTAGTACACCTGAAT